CCAAAACAAGTTCACCGCCCCTCAGCATCCTCCCACCGCCCCCCAGGGGGCGGTACTGCCCTCGTTGAGAACCAATGACGAAGGCCATGGGCAGAAATGGTGGAGAGGTAACCAAGACATAATAAACAATTGGATCTAAGGAGCCTCATCACCACCACCATCATCATCCCAGACTGCAGATGTAAAATTTTAAGGCAGAACAATCCTCTTTTGAGTCAAAGTTGACTCTTCTTGACTTCATTACTTCTGGACTTCAGCTTGTTCCTTTACAATCTAAGCTATTACTAATGATCTCCCATCCAAGTTCTAACCGGTACAATCCTGATTATTTTTTCAGGTCTAGGCAAGGAGGCCAGATGCTGCAACCTGTTGAGAGAATGCCATCATAACAGGCCAGATGCATTTCTGATAACAGGGCTTTTGGAATAAGCTTCACCTTAGGGCTCCTGCAGGCAAAGGTTCATAACATGAGCAGTTTCCAAAAATCCAAATATGGGCTTTGTATCTTCTATCAGTCTGTGTTGATCTTCATTGCTTTTCTTTGAACCTGTTGTAGTTTGTCAATATCCTGGAAATGTGGTCCCCAGAATCATACAAAGCACTCCAGGTTTGGTCTCACCAGTGCAGAATAGAAGGGAATAAAGACTTCATGTATATTTCATGTAATGGCGCTTCTGATACAACACAGGACTTCATTAGCCCTTCTAGCAATTGTCTCACACTGTTGACTCATATTCAGCTTATTGTCAATGTACACACCTAAATCAGTGTTTCCAGGCCATTAATCTCCCTATCTTATATGTATGTCCATCTTTTTTCTCCTTAAATATAACACCTTATCTTTCTTCCTGTTAAAAGACGTCTTGTTCCTTCCAGCCCAGTCTTCCAACTTCTCCAGATTAGACTACAGTCTTGTTCAATAAACCTAGGCATGGGTTGGATGTCCTCATTTTGTGTAATCTGCAAATTTAGTAAGCAGACCATGAATCCCATCATCCACGTCTTTAATAAAAATGTTGAAAAATACCGGCTGCTACAGAGATCCCTGTGAAACCCACTGGTTATTGCTCTCCAACTCAATGTAGAAACATCAGGGTGACTCTGCAAGTGTGGTTAGTCACCCAATTTTGGATTCATTCTGCTGTAGTGTCATCCACTTTAAGAATGCCCATGAGAATATCATGTGGGCCCTTGTCAAAAGCTTTGCTGAAATCAGGAATGTTTTCATCCTCCTTCAGGGTCCGGTGTCCTTCCAGGAGGTGGCGGTGTGTTTCTCAGAGGAGGAGTGGGCTCTGCTGGATTCCACCCAGAAGGCCCTCCATGGGGAAGTCATGCGGGAGAATTCTAGAAACGTGGCTTCTCTGGGTAAGGGCCCCTCTTTGCTCCTGAATTCAGATAGTTGGGATAGGCATTTTGAATTAGTCAGTTTGTGTGTGGCTTCAGTCTTTTAGCTGGAAAAATGAGAAGATCCCTTTTTCTTGAGCTCTCAGGAAGGTGGAAGGTTAACATCCCTGCTGTGATCTATGGTGGGATCATTTCATGTCCTGCATTGAGGAACTGAACTTTCAATTTGTGTCAGTCTCACCATGAGTAGACTGATCCATTGGTTGAAAAGAGGGTGTTTGTGTGTCAGAGCTCCTGTGACCCCAAAGTCCCCTCAGAATCCCTCTCTGACCTCTCTGATCCCCATTAAAGCCTCTGGTCCTGAGGAGGGGGATAGACCTGATGGCCTCAGAGACCTCTTTCAACACTGGGATTCTATCTTCACACACACACACAAAATTCATTTTACTGTTTCAATGCTATTAATGCGCAGGAAAGTTTTGAAGAACACTTTCTTGCCCTTGGAATTCTAATTCTTCTACATAAATTTAAAAAATAGCGAGAGAAAAACACCAAATGGTATACTGAAGTTCCAAGCAGAAGAAAATCTGAATCTATTTGTTTAATGGAATGTTATAATTCTGTACGCTTTAAAAATATTCTTGTTGAGTCACATTTCTGAGATTTTTTTAAGAAATAAAATTTTCAACGGGAGTATAAATAGAGATCATGTACATCTATTGAAATGAGTGATTGTTTAACTGGATCTTTTCCTTACCCTCTGTCGCAATTGAATATTCTGCCTTTTAACAGGGATGTTCTCTAGTGAAACCTTTTGTCAGAGAAAATTAATTTTCATTCTTCCCCACCAAGTATTTTTCACCTTCTTCTTCCCTGTTTGCAAAAAGAGCATTTCTTTCTGGGTTAATGCACCATAGCCTTCTCTCCATGCCTCTCCTATAGGTCATGGAGTATATATGATCTTACAGGTGACGAGTGATAACATAAATAGCTATCCAGCATACATAGGCTGTGGTTTAGATGTTCCAAATGTTCCACCCTGAAAAAGCCTTTCCTGACTCCTTTGCCAACAGTAATGATGAAAGTGATGAAAAAATAAAGGTGTCTCCAAATTACAGGTCGGTCCAGCTCAATAGAGATTTTCCAGTCCCCCAAATGAAAAAATGGAGTTCTCTGCTCCGCTCCAGCTGCTCAAAATTCAGCTTCCTAGGAGCTGCATGCTCATTCACATCTTCCATCTGTATCTTATTTTCTTATTTTCATGACATTTTTTTTCTTCCCCATTGCATAGTTTTACTCTATTCTTTATTACAGTGGTACCTCTACTTACGAACTTAATCCGTTCCGTGACTCTGATCGCAAGTCGAGTTGGTCGCAAGTCGAAGTAAATTTTCCTATAAGGTTCAATGTAATTACTGTTAATCCATTCCGGCTTCCACGGACCACACGTCAGGGGTGGAAAAATGGCCGCTGACCACGCGGCAGGGCGGAAAAAATGGCCGCAGACCACGTGGCATGGGCGGAAAATGGCCGCGGGCCACGTGGAACGGGCGGGAAAATGGCCGCGGACCACGTGGAACGGGCGGGAAAATGGCCGCGGACCACGTGGAACGGGCG